CCAAATCCCACCCCCGTGTCCCCCCAGGTTGCGGCCGAGACGCGGGCGGTGATCGCGTGGATGCAGCGCTACCCGTTCGTGCTGAGCGCCAACCTGCACGGAGGGGAGCTGGTGGTCACGTACCCGTTCGACATGAGCCGAACCCCCTGGAAGGCCCAGGAGCTCACCCCGACTCCGGACGATGCCGTGTTCCGCTGGCTCGCCACCGTCTACGCCACCGCCAACCCCGCCATGGCCACCGCCAACAACCGCAGGTGTCACCACGAGGATTTCACGCGCTTCGGTGAGGGGGAAATGAGATTCCAAGTGGTTTTATTTTATATGTTATGTTATGTCATGTTATGTTATGTTTTATGTTATGTTATGTGTTATGTTATGTTATTTTTTTGTTATTGTATATGGTTTATATTTAGGTTTTATGTATTAAAAAATAAACACATAATATACATAAAATATATATATATATAAAATATATATATGATACATATATATAATATAAATAATATATATAATATATAACTAATAAAATATTATTAAAATATATAGAATATATATGATATATATAAATAGTATATAATAATTATAAATAATAAAATGTATTGTATATAAATATATATAATATAACAATATTTATATGTATATTTATAGATTTATATATATAAATATTATATAATAATTATATATAACAATTATAAATAATAACATTTATATATAAATATGTATGTAATATAATATATATTTATATGTATTTTTATATAAATATATTAATTTTATGTAACTTTTCTTATATATAATAATTACAAATAATATAGTCTAATATAATACAATATAATACAATATAACATAATATAATATAATATAATATAATATAATATAATATAATATAATATAATATAATATAATATAATCTGTAATATAATCTGTAATATAATATAATATAATATAATCTGTAATATATACATTTCTATCAGGTAACATCATCAACGGAGCCCAGTGGCACACAGTGGCTGGCAGTGAGTAAGGGGAGAGGGGAAAGGGTTCGGATTTTTTGGGGTTGAGGTTTTTGAGGTTTAAAGGGGGGAGAATTGAATTTTAAAGGTGTTTGGAGGGGTGTGGGTTATCGGGGTGGGTTATCGGGGCGGTTATTGGGTGTGGGTTATTGGGTGTGGGTTATCGGGGTGGG